GAGGAGGAAAGGCACTAAAGTGACCTTCTCATTGACAGATAGACTAAATGACAACAGGATACATCAAATCTGTTCAGATGATTGATCGTAATTACTGTGATATCTAATGACGAGTGTTAAAACATGTTCGAGGTAGAACTGAAACTCCTTTCATCTCAGCGTTTAAATGATTTCTGAACTCAATGTTTTATACGTTTATTTAAAGTACATGATGAAAAAAATCTCTTCATTAAAAAGTTGATTTGTTTCAGGTTTGTGCTTTTATTTTGTAGGTGTCGTGTTTTGTTCAAATGAATCACGTTAATTGTTCAGGCATCTGTTTTCAATTCCACCTGTTTCATGATCAGATTTTCAGAATAAAACGACAGAGTCTGTAGTTTTGCAGAACATCCAAAAAGCAGAAGCGATGCCAAAGTTAATATTAGAGGATGATTAAACTTCCTCTGTGGTTTCAGACCGTTGGCCCTGGTCTGTGGAGGAAGAGACTGCAGGACGCCTGAGTCATTACTGGACTGTGGTCACTGCAGACAGGACCTCTGTGCTGCAGTGTAGAAACATCTCGGGGGCTTTTTACCACAAACACAGATTTTTTGGCAAAAATGTCAGCAGCTGTAACGGAAACCCCCCCCCCCCCCGGATAAATGAAAATTTAATGTAGTAGTTTTTCCGTTTCTCTCTTACTATGACTCAAATAATGCGTCAGAACTATTCTGAGCATAGATAATAACACGTTGGTTAGCTAGTGAGCTATCTGTCTTGTTAACATGCAGCATGTACTGTAATTTAAGAAGTCAAAAGTGGGAAATGTGTCTTTTAATTTCCCCGCTCAAAGAAACATGGTAAAGTGTTTTTATTTGGCTAATTTTGCAGCTTTAATTGTTAAAGTTTAACTCTGAGCTGCTGTCTGTAGTCACTGATGTACAAATGTGCCAGACCTCCTGACGACAACGACAAAGTTTAAGGACGACTCCACTGAAAACCTTTGTTTTTAAATGCTAACTATGCTAGCATACGTAGCCGTGCGCAACAAATTGCAAAGCAGCAGCAGCATATTCAGCCACATTTGGCAAATATGCAATTGTTAGCAAACAGAACGGCAGCAAAGTGAAGGTTTGTGCTGCAGGAGTAATTTGAGACGTTTCTGTGGATGTTCAAAAATGTTTTTACGTGACAAAACAAGCTAACAGTAGCTGTAGCTTGTTTCATGTGTGAAAACATGTATGTGATACTCAGAACGGTGATTTCATGGAGTATTCCTTAAAAGCATTACAACATTTTTTCCAAGTAGGGAAGGAGAAGTAGCTAAGAGAACCTGCTAGCCTGTTAGCGAGCTAACACCTTGTTCAGCTGAGACTTAAGACAGAACTGTGTCTTGGTCCTTGGAAACATCTTTTTTTCTGATCTGGACCGTTGCCAGCACAACCAGAAGGATCTGTTTCAGCCATTTCCTCTTTTCTATTGTTGATGTTAAAAACACAACATGTATTTCCATCATGTCGACGACGAAGCTTTAAAAGATGGAGATATGGAATGTAGAAAGGAATGGATGTGTGCTTTTTTTTGGGACGTTTAATGAGGTTATATTATTCCTGTGGTCTTAAACCAATCAGATTTCTTGGCTTAAACTACCTGTTCTATAATTGTGGTTGAAAAAAAAATCAGACAGCCGGTTCCTGTGGCGATCAGACCAGCGGCGTTTTGAAGCGGCGACTGGTTTCATGCCGTTGGTTTTGTTTGGAGACAGTCAGCAGCGTTTAGACTGTGGGTTTTCCTCAGTGTGTTATTTAAATACAAGCACTGTTACTGTAATGCCCTATTTTTATTTGAAACTGCTGAGTCATTAAATCGTCTGCAGACACGGAGACACACTGGACCGCTGCTCAAACACAAACTGTGAGAGAGACATGTTTAAATAGATGAGTGGACAGATGGGCCGACGCCTTGTTAAAGGCAGCATTAAAGCCCACAGCAGACTCCACACGAAGTAGCACCATGATAACTAAACAGAAAACAACAGGAATACATCAGCAAAAACATCCATATAAAATAAACAAACCTAAACAAAAATAATTTACTTTCCAGAAATACAATAACCCTTGGTATAAAAAAAGTTAATATATCTATTATACCTGTAAACCAGTTTGTCCTTCTCCACTGTGGTACAGTACGTCATTGTAGCTTGAGAACAGCCTGATTGCAATCATGTGCATAAAAACAATCTTACCCATTTAAAAAGAAAAGGCCTGCTGGGTTTGTTGGTGTGTTTTTCATATGGAGTCCAGTTTTGGTGTGAGCTGACTAATAGGCAATCTGACAGGCACTTTGAATATTGGTTGATTGATTGGAAAGGGAATGACGTGGAAAACAAATGGATAGGAGAGAGAGAGAGAAATGTAATAAAAACACTTTAAAATATGATTGTTTTCAATTTACAGTTGTTTTTTTTGTTTGTTTTTTTTTTTTTTACAGTTTTCAATTCACTAATAAGACAAATGTTTTTCAGTCTTTCCCAGTTATTTCTGTGAGCAGACACATTTTATTTTATTTCAGTGGAAGTGAATGCCACTTAGGTAAAAAAAAAAAGGATTTACATTTTTAATTTAGTAAAACAACTTCGTTCGACTAAAGTTTGTAAATATCAAATACTTAAATTAAGAGTTTAAAAAAGTAAAAACTCTCAGTGCTTTACTCTGAAGCCGCAGCTCTCAGCCGCTTGTTCACCAACATTTCGTTGTTACGCTACATTTTCCAAATGTGTGTCGGGTTCGTACAGAAGCTACGACGTCGGTCGAGGACAGCTGCAGGTGAGAGAGGAGAAGAGAGGAGGAAGTAAAAGCTTGAGCGTTTTACGAGACCGAGGAATGATGAAGCTGAGAACTGAACGCACACAAACCGTACACGCATACACAACCGGGAAAAAGTCTCTAATAAAAGGAATGCATCGACCGAACTCTCCTCGGACGCATCGAGAGTTAGTGAGTGTGGATCAGCGTTTCTCTCCCGCTCTTCAGATCTGAGCCTGTGAGGCGCAGAGGGCGGAGACGCACTGATGAGGACGACCGCTCGGTTTGGGATTCTGTAGCGAGAGCCTGAACAGAAACAGTGGAAGGAGGAAGTGAAGGGGGGAAAGTACGGAAGCCGAGAGAGGCCATACTCGCGAATATTTTTCTTATCTCGTTGTCTGGAGATTACGAAGCTCATTATCCCAACGTAACGAGATAATTATCTGGAGGTTACAAAGCTCGTTTTCACATTTAAAATACACCTAAAATTAAAATTAATTCGTTGGTTCCTTTTGGTTATTTTAGATTCTTCATCTCTGACCTTTTAATTCTGTTTGTACCTGTTTTAACTGATTCTTGTCTTTACATTATCAATTAATTGTATTTATATGTTTGTTGTAATTTGATTGTTTTTCTAACAGGTATTTTTATCTACTCGACATCACTGTGAACGAGGGATAAATAAAGCTTCGTTATCTTGATTAATGACGGGATAAAAATAATATTTCTTGGCTTCCTTAAAAAAATTTTAAAAAAGTGACATCATCAGTGCATCTCCGTCCAAAGCCGAGAGGAATCTGCAGAACTGGTCCTGGATCAGCGTGACCCAGTGAAATGTGTCAGGACAGTGCGCTGTAGTAATGTACACCACACGTCTGGTCTGAGGATGAACCTTGACATCAGTTAAGAAATATATATATAAAAAAAAAAATAAAAAAAAAAGGAAGCAGACGAAACACTGTGTGTGTGTGTCCGCTGCGACAGGTCCAGTCAGACTCTGGAGGGTTTTCTTACATCGACGCGGTTTAAGACACGGCTGCGACGCCACAGAGCGTCCCTGCGTTTGTGGCCAGAGTTCTCCCGGGAAACTCGAGGTCCGCTCTGAGATCAGCTTCATGGTCTCGTTTACAGAGCTCCAAGTCCAAGTCCAAACATCCATCCGTAGAGTCCAAGTGAAGTGTGGTGTATGCTGGGATACGTAGTCCAACGGTCCCTCAGTTCTTCCTCTTTGAAAGAAGGTCAGCGACTGAGTCAAATCCAGGTTGGAGACGCTCGCTGGGGTTTCATTGTGCTAATCAATCTGAGCGGTTCACTCGTTCCCAGCGCAGCAGGTGTTTGTATGACGAGGTTCAGAGAGGAATCACATGACGCTTTCAGAGTCGCTAACGAGACATAAACGATGTTTCCAGCTGTGACAGATGTCTCCTCTGTGGCTTTTTACAGCTGTCAAAGTGACACATGAACTGTCACTGCTTATTAAAGCGGGGGCCGCCTCCCGCCTCTGTTCTTTCTCCTTGGTTGTCCGTGAATCCAACATGGCTGCCGGTCCGACAGCACGGTGGCAATGTGATGTCATCAAGGTGGATTTTCCAGTCCATTTGTAGTACCTGTTATTCTCTAAATTGGGGAGTGTGTGTGTGTGTGTGTGTGTGTGTGTGTGTGTGTGTGTGTGTGTGTGTGTGTGTGTGTGGGGGTGTTTAGTAGGTCCAATCCTGACATCATAGTTTTCCTTGTCGATTCTCTTCAGTTAACAGAGTTGGTTTTGTTTAGTTAAGTGTGTGATATGATGTGTGTGTGTGTGTGTGTGTGTGTGTGTGTGTGTGTGTGTGTGTGTGTGTGTGTGTCTGCTGGTAGTTTTGTGACGGTTGCTGTTTGCTGGAGTCCTTGGCATCAGAATGGTTCAGTCCAAGACAAAGGTGGTATTGCCTGGGTTGTGTGTGTGTGTGTGTGTGTGTGTGTGTGTTTATGAATGTATGAGTGCGTGCATGTGGCAGTGTGTTTGTGGGGCAGTGTGTGTTATGTTTGGCAGTGCGCCTGTGTGGCAGGTTGTGTGTGTGTGTGTGTGTACATTTGGTGATGGGAGAAGTGGTGTGTGTTTTCATGGCAGTGTTCAGTGTGTGTGAAGAAATAATAGTATTGCTTTGTGTGTGTGTGTGTGTGTGTGTGTGTGTGTGTGTGTGTGTGTGTGTGTGTGTGTGTGTGGCAGTAGAGGTGTCGTCACTCGTTGCAGACGTCCCTCTTCTCCTCGGTTGCCGCCGGAGACTCTTGTGGGCGGTGCTTGCATTGTCCCAGTGAATGGCGAGCTGCTGCTCTTGATGGTCGGGCAAAGCAGGAAGACTGGGCAGTGCAGTCACATGGTGCATCCTGGGAAAGAGAGAGAGGGTGTGGCTTAAACAAGGCGTCTCATCTACCTGAACATGCCTATTATATATGTATATTCACAGATGTTTAAAAGTTCCTTTAAGGGCGACTGCAGTTATTTATTTTAACTATTTTATTTATTATTTCAGTTATTTTTTTATTATTTTCCATCTCACTTTACATCAATGTTCTTAACATGTTGTTATGTTCATGTGAAGCTTCTCTCATGTCTGTTCTTTTTAAAGAGCTTTGTGCGACATTTCTTGTATGAAAGGTGCTTTATAAATAAAGTTGTATTATTATTAATATTATAATTATCATTATTATTATTATTATTACTGATGTTACAAGTACAAGCAGGAGAAGTAATAATCGAAACAAAGCTGAAAACTGTCAGACTAGTGCAGCGTGAACCTTTCAGTATAAATTACTAAGGCACACTCTGTGTTTTGGTGTGGTTACCTAGCAACTCGACTGTTCTCACAGTCTACCTGAGAAATAAATCCAGAACAGCTGTGATGTGATTAACACAGACAGAACCACCGGTGCTTGTAAAGTTTAAGAAAAGACTCACCTCCGTCCCAGATGCCGCCGCCGCTACCGCCGCCACCACCCCAACGCTGCTCAGTGTTTCCTTCCCTCCTCCCATGATGCTGACCATCTCCTCCCCGGCCGTCTGCCTCATGAACCTCTTGTTAACAATCCTGGTCACGTTGTCGTTGCCTGCACCCAATCCGAGCCCTCCGACCCCGGCTGACATGCACTCTGGCTTGGGCTCATCCACGCCGCTGAACCCCCCCAGGACACCCAGGCTGCCCAGGGAGTCTCTTTGCGCTCTCTCCCCGGGCAGGGTGACTCCTCCCGGGCCACGGCCGCTGCACACGTTCCTGAAGAACTCCTGGACCAGGCCTCCGTACCGCTGAGAGCCGGCGTCAGATCCACAGGCCGCCGCTCCAGAGGGTTTTCCTGCGGCGGGGGGCTGGCGTGCTGGACTGGCACCTTGGCTGGCTCCTGGTGGTGAACAAAGACAGGTGTGACAATGATTTAATGAATTGTGGTTGACAGGAATAATTGAATCCTGCAGGCACACTCGCACTGTGACACTCTAAATCTAATAAACAGGAACAGAGGCTTCGAGCATCACAGCGAGTTAGAGAAGTCTTCATGACAGAGCGAATCAGCAGCAACTAGAGCCACCTCCTCGTGGTCGTATCCCTCCGCCACTCAGACCCTGTTTATCCAGAGTCATAAAATATGAACCATTTGTGTTAAATTTTGTCATAATTTCTGTGTCACAGTGACCTTTGACCTTTGACCACCAAATTCTAAACACTTTGTCCTTGAGTCCAGGTGAACATTTTTACCAAATTTGAAGAAATTCCGATCAGATAGTAGTTTACATGAGATATTGCTTTCACAAGGCCAAAACAGCGTTTTGTGAGGTCACCATGACCTTGACTTTTGACCTTTGACCCTCAAAATTTAATCAGTTTATCTTTGAGTCCTAGTGGATGTTTGTGCCAAATTTGAGGAAGTTCCCTCAAGGTGTTACTGAGATATCATATCCACTAGAATGAGACGGACGGACAGACTGAAAATAAAATGGCCGCTGCTCTGACTGGCGCCAGTGTGGAGGAATATTTCAGCCGTCATTCATTCTATTTTTTTCTTGTTCTCCTAGTTACAAACCAAAATATGGTCCATGTAAAACCACGAGTCTGACCAGTGTCTCACCTCCGTCCCCCCTCCAGAGCGACTCTGTGCTCCCGGCGTGCTCCACCACGCTGAAGAGGCTGGAGAGGCCGTCGGTGAGGCCGCTGAGGACGGGGCTGTCCCTGGTGGTGGTGGAGCGAGCCCAGGCTGAGCCGCCGCCTCCGCCTCCGCCTCCGCCCAGGGGTCTCTGCTGGAGGCTCCACAGGCTGCGGTCCCTGGAGGAGGAGTTGCTGTCCAGTCTGGAGGTGGAGCCTGAAAGCAGAACAGCTGGATGTAAAGAAATGACAGTGTGTGAAGCAGATGAACAGATGTGTCGTAATACGATGAATTGGGTTCAAACAAACGTTAATTACCAGAGGAAACTCTGCGCTGCAGTTTCGGTGAGCCGTACTTGGGCGAACAGCACGGCCTCTCGATGCGGCTGTGAACTTTATCTAGCGACGTAGATATCTGCCGGGTTCGGGCCGACACCAGCGAGGAGGTGGTCGTGGACGAGGGACGAGGAGACCAGGCTTTGGAGTGCAGCCCCGCCCCCCTGCTGCCGGGAAGGTTGTCGGTTTGAAGCCCGATGCTGACGTACTGGGCGGCGGTCTGCGTGGACCTGGTGGACATGCCAACCGCCTGGGTGGAGGGAGGGACGTGACAGAGGAAGTTTAGTGCCACAGGATTCTGCAAAAACCTCCATCGTCACTTTTGTCTTTTGTGTAACTTTATAATTAGAAACAACATATATACGTTTTTAATTATGTACTAACGAGTTAATATGATTTATAACTGGTAAAAGGAGCTTTATAGTAACATCATGATGTGTTTCCCACATAAAATAAAGCTCCTTTTACAGTAATAAATACTAGTAACTCATTAGTAATATTAATGAGTAGTAAGCATTAACTCGAGCTTGCCAAATAGTGAGCTGCATCAATGTATGAAAACTTGTTTATAACGTGTTAACAACTGGATTAATAACCTAATTATAAACCATTTATAAATCCTTTATAAAGGTCGTCTTATTGTGAAGTGGTTACTGAATCAAATAAACTTAATTAATAATCTTTTTAAGATCCAGAAACAGGCCGATATGACAATGTTATGTTGACCATGTTCAAACAGGTAGAGACAAAGTGCTTGAGCTAAAATTAATAAATTATTATTTTAATTCATAAAACTTTCCAGAAAAACAAGAATAAAGTATGTTGTTGTGGCCATAGGCCTTCATCACATTCATGTTACACTAGATCTTTTTTTAAATAAACAGAGGAAGTGTTGCGTCTCCTCTGTTTGTCTTGAGGACGGTAAGATCCCACCTGACTTCCCGGTTCCTTGCTGGACTTCCTCTCCAGAGACGAGGAGCGAATGGCCTGACGGACACAGTTGGTCATCTCCTTCATGTCGTCACTTAAGTTGGCAGAAATCTCCCCGATCTCCAGGCCGTGGAAAGCCGAAGAGGACGTCATCCCGTCGACCACGCTGTTCGCTGAGCCACCGAGGCCGCCGGGGATCGAGCCAGCGATGCAGCCGCTCCTGCTCTCCAGCAGCTCCCTGTGCTGCTTGGACAGCGAGCTCAGCCACTGCTCGTACGAGGACGAGAAGGAGGAAGAGGGTTGTTGCTGCTGCTGAACCCCGAGGGTTTCCTCCGTAGCCACGCCCCCGTCCCAGACGCTCGATCCCAGGGACGAGCTCCCGTTCTGCGCCTGCTGTGGCTCTTTGGCGTGCTGGTTCTGTCTCCGGTGCTCTATGCGCCTCACGGCAGGAGGGCTGTAGTAGATCCGGATGCCGGTGCGGTCTGGAGCGGTGTGGCTCCTCTGGACAGACTCCAGATCCAGCTCTGATCCCACCAGGCTGCTGCAGGAGCCGCTGGGACCGTCCCAGGTTTTACAGGTGTCCCCGACCTCTGGAGTCTGTGTCATGAGACAAGAGGATCAAATTACTTCTTAACTTCTTTAACATGATGCAGAAATAAATCCAGAAGTGAAGTCAGTAAGTTGAGAGTATACTCTATAATCTAACTGCACATTTCAAACCAGTAAATCTATAAAATTAGAAGTTATTAACCTCATTGGTCAGGTAGGTCCAGTTCTTCCTGGTGAGGTCACCGAGCTCTGGGCGAATCAAAAGAGGCGGGACTGCAAACTGGATTTTCTCCTCCTGGTCGGCGGCTCCGTTGACCTCGGGCCGATCCAGCTCTGACGTGGACTTGGTCCTTTTCATAAAAACAGAAACCAGAAAAAGAAGAAGAGATGTCGAGGTCACAAACTCGCACCTGCTTTTATTTATTCGCATGTTCAGGATTAATTTCAAACTAAGTGCTGTGAGATAATGTTTTTTGATTGTTACCTTGGCGATCCAGCTCCATTGGCAACAACCGTGTCCGTGGATGACTCGCCGCTTGATGACTTCGACTGTGAGGACGAAGAAGGAACAGAGAGGGAAATCACTGAGGCTACGTTCACACTGATACGTTTTCATTTCAAAACACAGACCTCCGTCCAGACTAACACACCTGGAAACACACACATCACATGACCATTCACCTACACTGAGCATGTGTAAGTGTAAACAGGAAGTAGATTGTCTCCTCTGCAGTAAATCAGCAAAGACAGTTGTATTCACCACTGGTAGTCCAGGCCAATCAGGAGAGACCGTGGGTGTGACCTCATCATTTACAAAGGTCTGTTTCTGTCTGTTCAGACTACAACTCAACCCCAGAGTTTTCAAAATAAAACACAACCCCAGTTTTCAGAAACGTGTCCAGCAGAGTTTCTGAAAGTTTCAGTTTTAGGGGCTTGAAAACTAAAACCCCGGAGTCGTGTGGACGGGAGGAGGAACCGTGAGGATAGAGATGCGTTTTAAAATGAAAACGTAGTCGTGTGGACGGAGCCTGAATCTACTTTTTTATTTTTTTATCTATAAACATTTAAATGACCTGAATCATCGGCACAAACAGCTTCCTTCATTTCTGCACATTTACTGGAGAAATGCGATCCATTTCCTCTGGAGCTGTTTTGACAGGAGGAAGTGGAGTTTGGCATAATTTATCTGTGACACACACACACACACACACACACACACACACAGAGACAGATGGTGATGCTGAGTCAGTGTGTTTCACACTCGAGGGGTGATCTCACACTCTGAAGCCAAACCCCCCCCCCTGCAGAATGACAGAGAGTGGAAGGAGGGAAACATGTGCAGATCATGTGTTCAGTTGTGCAAATTACACTGATGGACTTTCACTGTCACCTGCAGCTCACTGACCTGCAGCAGAGGCCGTCGTGATGTGTTCACTGACACACGGTTAAATGCAGTTTCTACACGCTGCAGGAAACATTTCTCTTCCTCTGCTCTCAGTGTTTGTTGTTTATTGTTGAGTGTCTGTGTGTGATCAGGATGGAAAACAATGATGAACCAATTTGTTTAATCACATTAATGATCGAGGTAAACACTTGAAATAACCGCAATATTGATTTGAAGTCATATCGCCTGACTTGCAGCTTTGTGATCATAAATCTGTAAATTCAACGTGTATGTTTCTACCCTTTAGTTACAGACATGTGGGCGGCAGAATATTAGAGACAGATCTGAATACAGTCCAGTCCAGCACCGTTAATATACATACAAGTTAATTATCATCTCTATGACAGTGTCTCAAACCATCTCTTCCTGGGTAACGCTCCACCACAACATCTCGTTCAAACTGGATTACATAAAGAAAACTAGAGTCACTTCCTTGCGGTCGTATCCCTCCGCCGCTCAGACTAGTTCCAGGTCACATCCCTGTTTATCCAGAGTCAGAGAAAATATGAACCATTTGTGTGAAATTTTGTCATAATTGCTGTGTGAAAAAGTGTTTTCTGAGGTCACACTGACCTTTGACCTTTGACCACCAAAGTCCAGGTGAACGTTTGCACCAAATTTGAGGAAATTCCCTCAAGGTGTTACGGAGATGTATTCCGCTCACAAGGCCAAAACCGTGTTTTGTGAGTTCACCACACCCTTGACCTTTGACCCCCAAAATCTAATCAGTTCCTCCTTGAGTCCCAGTGGACATTTGTGCCAAATTGTAAGAGGTTCCTTCAAACGGTTACTGAGATATCGTGTCCTAGAGAACGACCTGAAACAACAACCTGAAAACAACCGGCGTGGAGGAGGAATAAAAAACTGACTTATAAATAAACATCAGAATAGTGACTGTAGTTTTACCTCAAGTAACCCTGAAGCCATCTGTCCTGATAGGGACGGTGTGATTAAATGTCAGGAGGAGGTTTGTGTGCGACAGACACAGTGAGAGAGACTGAGACGGAGACCCGGCCTCCTGCCCAGCTCCCAGAGCACGACACAGACACTTAATGGAAGGAGTGAGACGGGATCACACTCAGCAGACAGACAGGAGGAGGGAGGGGGAGGGAGAAGGACGAGAGGGGGGAAAAGAAAAGAGGGCGGGAAAGGGACGACAGACGCCCTCAGACTTCAGAGTAGTCAGAGGAGCTCCGACCTCGCAGCGGTGAGTGTGTGTCTGACTGACGACCGCTTTAAACACTGATGCAATGCCTCCACGTCGCCGCTGCTGCTGCTGTGTAATCAGCAGATCAGACCGACCGCGGTTTCCCGGTGAGCTCAGCCTTGACATTAAACAGCTCGACCGCAGGACGGCGACAACACCGCCTCACTCGCGTTACAGCAGCTGTGTGGTTACTGTCAACAACAGAGCCCTCAGATGGAAACACCACCTTAAACACAGCAATCGTAACCTGAATTGTTGGGTCTGAAACCTCCACAGTAAATATGGTTTATTGATTCGGTGTCTCTCCCTCAGAATCAAAGAGTCAAAGCTTTTTATTTTTTATTTTAAAGCTGCTAACACACACACTCCAGTGTAAAAAAAAAAAAAAAAAAAAAAAAAAGAAAAGAAAAGAAAAGAAAAAGAAAAAGAAAAAGAAAGAAAAAGTGACGTGATGCTTTTTTCTCAACCGGGGAAAAGGAGTCACTTTTTCCAGTTGCTGTCAGGCTGCGTTCAGAACAAAAACAGCACTGTGTTAGCTGCGTTGGTGTGTTGCTACAGGTGCTGGTGAGAAGATGAAATACAATCCAGGACGTCCAGTTTAAAGTTATAATCTGTGAATAAGATATAATAAGATATTTCACGATCTGTATTTGAACGCCGTCTTCAAAGGAGGAAAAAAAGTCTGAACTTCTGCTCAATACAAACTGTGTGGCTGCTGGTGAGTTGTGGAGATAGAACAGGAACAGGAAGTCAGAGTTGCGTTTGAACAAATTGCATTATTTTATTTAAAAACTGGATTTTGTGTAACTGCAGAAGATCCAGCTGAGCAGGAAGTGAAGTCACAATGAGACTAAAACAGACCGGAGCTGCTCATATTGTCACGGGAGGAGCTCTGGTGGCGTGATGTTTGTAGTAAACGGTGTCAGAGAGGTGAAAGGTCAGAGGTGGTGGTGGTGAGGAACAAGTATTAGAGGAGAAATTCAGATGCTGTTTGTATCTGTTCATATCCAAAATAATTATTCATGTTTGTTTACGTTTGCTGGAAACTCTTCAAATCAGGACGATGCTTTTGTATTTGTATACACCCGCTCTTTGTCTCTTCTTCAGGGCATCTCACACACACACACACACACACACACACACACACACACACACACACACACACTCATCTTACCTTCCCCTGTTGTACAGTGGCCTCTCTCAGTCTCTGCTCCCACTGCGCTCTCTCCTGGCTGAACCTCTCCAGCAGCTCCAGCTTCTCTCTGCCCCAGTTCCTCTCTCCGATCTGAAGCTGATTGGTGGACGGGCCGGTCGCAGCGGAGAGACACAAAGAAGAAGAAGAAGAAGAGGAAGAAGAAGAAGAGGAGGAGGAGGCCAGCGTCAGAGAAGGAGGAGAAAACATGGATGTAGGTGTGTGAGTAAACTCTCCTTCCAGCCTGTTACCTGTTTAGTGAGGTCCATCACAGCGGCATAGGACTCAGCCAGGAGGTGCTGGTGTTCTTCACGCTCCCTCTTCAGCGCCACCTTCAGGTCTGGAGGATCCGGTGCGTCAGTGGAGGACAGAGCTGCAGCTGCTTTACCTGCTTTGGTCTCAAGCTGGGAAAGGGAAAGGAAGAGGGATCATGGTAAAGATCAGGCTGACAGTAATCCCTGGACACCGACTCCAAATCACACATTTATTGACAGCGTTGATCACAGAATTTCAAAATATCCATAAATAAGTATGGATTGATCGGGGTAAGGATATTTAGACTTAGCCAAAATGGCAAAGTGGAAGCTACAAACTTATTGTCAGATTCATCATGTTGGTGAGAAACAAAACAGACATATAGTTAGTCTAAATCTGATCATGCGTAGTTTATTTGTAAATTAAAACAAACAAAAATAAAAACATAAATCTGTTATTTGTTTTAAAACTCTAATTTTAGTTTATTTATTTGTTTATTCATATCATGTAGTTATTTGTTTTTGGCTTAGAATTAAAAATCAAATAAAATCAGGTGAATTTAGTTTTTGTTTTCAAACAAAAATCACGATAAAAAACCAAAAACGGAGCATTTAGATTTTTTTGTTTAGTTTTTTGAATATGACATAAACGTTTTTTTCTGTTTTTGGTTTTAATAACAGATTTACAGCAGCAGCCATGTTGTTTTCAGGTTGTACGTCCGTCTCATTCTCGTGGACACGACGTCTCTGTAACGCCTTGATGGAACATTCACTTGGACTCAAGGATGAACTGATTAGACTTTGGTGGTCAAAGGTCAAATGTCAAGGTCATGGTGACCTCAGAAAATACTCTATTGCCACAACTCAAGACCAACCAAATTTCACACAAACAGTTCGTATTTCATATGACTCTGGATAAACAGGGATGTGAGCTGGAACTAGTCCGAGTGGCGGAGGGATACCACCACAAGGAGGTGATTCTGGTTTTAGTTTTTAAAATACAAATGAATTACAGATTCTCTGATGATGCCCAGACCGCTGCCGCCACTGAGTAAACACACTTAGTCACTTTCCATATTAGTTTAGAGTTGTGATTCAGCGCATGCACGCACACACACACACACACACACACACACACACACACACACACACACACGTACATACAAATAATTCCTAGTTGAACACAACTGTGACTCATTTGACCACAGAGAGATCTGTGGAGGGAAATCCCAGCGTCTCTGCATGTTTTATCCTCACAGGGGGGGGGGCTTATAAATGATGTCATGGATGATTTCAGGGGTAACACCAGGTTTTCTGAGTCCACTGAGTTCGGAGCGTTTCCTACTTTGATTCCTTCACATAGAGACAGACGTAAATAGAAATAGAAAAAGGAGAGTCAGCTGGTCAGATGAGATCATAATGATGACTTTACTGTGGCTCCTTTTTTCTTTTCCTGCTCCTCTGCTCGAGTCTTTCTGAAAACGGCACAGTTCAAGGTATTTTTTCTGTCTCTCTCTCTTTCTTATCGTCTTCTCACTTGTCTCTTTGCTGCAGAATAATATGAATATATCACTTTTTAATCTCTTTCTCCTCCTCTGTGTTTCCTCTCTGAAGATCACCCGGCAGTTCCCTCCCTCTCACCCTCTCTCTCTCTACAGCCGTCCCACCCTTTCTCACCCCTTCTCTCTCTCTCTCTCTCTCTCTCTCTGCAGCTTTCTCACCCTCTATTTCCAGCTCTCTCCCCCCCCCCCCCACCCCCCTTTTTTTTCTCTCTCCATAAATCTGGCCTGTTGTCACAAAGCCTGTAGGTGGGATCACTTGAAATTTTTATGAGCAGCTCTGCTTTCCCTTTTCCTCTGTCTGCGCCTCATAGTTCACACAGCCGACACCACCGGGCCCATCAATTTGAAAAAAAGGCACACACACATGCATATACACACACACGCACACACACACACGCACTCGCACACACGCACACGCACACACACCCCAGACCCATCAATCCTCCCTGGTCCTCTCTCTGGTCTCGCTCTGTGGCGATGGAGTCCATATAAGGCGCTAATGGAAACTGTCTGGTGGCCAATCAGAGTGCAACAAGCGCACACTCAGCCCGTCTCCCGTCTCCTATGGCAACAGAGTGTTTCTCGTTAATGATGAACGCGGCCTAACGAGCCCCACATCTTAACGAGGTTTACCACTGAGGTGTTAAGAAGGAGGATTTTACTGGCGGATGAGAGACGTCTGGTTCACGACTCGATACTCACCATTAGGAAAGTTCAATTACGTCTATTTATCCAGAATAAATATATATATATATATATATATATATATATATAAAAAAAATACATTAATTAATTAAGTTTTCCTGGAATAATCCCATCAGGAGACTTTTCATCAAGTATCTGCACAGAAGCAGCTGTTTGTGGAACGAGCTGCGAGAAACGAACAACACCAATTAAACCCACAGGGCTCTCTGAGTGGTGAGCGGGAGGTTAAGAGGAGAAGGTTAATTTCACTATCATTAGAGCCCTTGTTATTATCATTAAACCAATTTGAGAAAGTATACACATCACGATCCTGCAGAAGTGCTGACCTAAAGGAAAATAAAAAAATTAACAATATAAATAACAAATTTAAAGAACCACACATGTTGAAGCTTAAAGAATATATTAATTTATAAACAATTGTTATTAATTTTGACATTAAAGCGTAACAAACACATGGTCAGTGGTTAAAAAGACAAAAGTGTATGAACACTTTGTATGTAATCAATAATAATTGTTGATGTGACAGCAGCCCGCAGTGTAGTGTGTGTAGTGTGTGTCGTGTGTGTAGTGTGTGCTATTTAAAGCAGCGTGTTCGTCGCCCGCAGCAGATTTTCCCTTTCAGAAACAACAAAGTTGATGTTCTCTGTTCACGTTACGTGAAGCCTGTAGCTGCCACCAGCTGTTAATCTGGGTCAAACACTCCGGAGAGAGGAGACGTGTCCCAGCTTTATAAATAAAAACAGCCTAGATATTTTATATTATATAATACATACACATGATACAGATGTTCAATATAGTGATGTATATATTACAACTGAGCTTCTGGAGTCACATCTCAACCCTTAATCTCACATTTTAATGTCAGTGGTTATTTAAAGTTATAATCTTGTGGTTTAAAACTTCTCTGGTTTGAGAATTGATGGAAACATTTGTGATGATGTCAGAACACAACTCAACAACATACAGAACAAACAGGTCGAGTTGTTTTTAGACGTTTTAAAGTGGAGAAGTCACAGATTATAACTTTATAACAGCAGAGGCGGCCTCAGGTTTGCGAGGACTTGTTCAATATTGAGTTGAAACGAAACGTCTTTCCCCTCCTCGCCTCGTCACCTCCGCCCTCCCTCCCTTCACCAGCGGCGTAGATTCAACAGATGTGCTGAGCGAGCGATCAGAGCTCCCAGCTGCTCGCCCGGCGTCACGGCAGAGACAGCGGGTGTTCCTAACATGTCCTACAGTCGGGACGGATGACTGATCACACAGCAAAAAGAAAAAGGAGCCAGTGTTGTTGCCGCGTGCTTTCAGGGCTCTGGATATCATTTCTACTTCAGTGACGGTGTTTGTTTATCGGGCTGAACGGCGAGGATAATTTCCTGTCGAGTTGTTTGTCAGGTGGGACGGCGTCTGAAATCAAATTGACTTGTTTAACAAAGCAACAGCTGGAGGCGTCGCTGCACCCCGCCAGGACGCCGTGGCACCGATGTGGTCGGCTGGTTGGTGGATGTCTACACACACACACACACACACACCCACACACACCCACACACACCCACACACACACAGCACCAGGGCAAACTGACGGCATACTTTACAGTGTGAGTTGTTGGCAGAAGACAGATTGGTTCCAGCTGTGGCATCTAGGCCAGTGTAACACACACACACACACACACACACACACACACACACACACACGCATTTGTTGCACAGATGTTTGTGTGTGTTTGTGTTTCACTGAATTAGTGACACAGTCAAATATAATAAAAAAGTCATATTTGTGTGTTTGGATCTTCAGTCTCTTCTCACAGCTCGACAGGATGAACTGGTTTAAAATCGCAGCTGATGATTCGATCTTTGATGAAGCCACCGAAGGTTCGTCCCTAAATTTAATCTCATAAAAGTGAGCAGCCAAGTCATATTCAAGGAAGCGGAGCGTGTCGCTGCTCTTGTCTCCTATTGGCTGCTGAGGGGAACCGCCAAACCGATCAGAAGACGGATGATACCACGCACCACGACGCGCGGGGCAGAATCCCTCTGATCATGACGATGATTAATGACTCCATCAGTGTGTGTGTGTGTGTGTGTGTGTGTGTGTGTGTGTGTGTGTGTGTGTGTGTGTGTGTTCTTATGTTTTGGTTTATTGTGTTCGTTTTTTTCCCCTCATTTCATTTTATCATTATTTACTCTGATGTGATGTTTGGTCCTGAATGTAATCTGATTTATACATTCAGGGTTTTTAGTTGTGACAATCATAGAACTAGAATCACCTCCTCGTGGTCGTATCCCTCCGCCACTCAGACTAGTTCCATGTTACATCCCTTTTTCTCCAGAGTCAGATAAAATATGAACCATTTGTGTGAAATTTTGTCATAGTAATAATAATTGTAGTAATTTTGTCTAAAAAAAGAACAGCACCTGGGTGAAAGGAAAACATTCAGTATGTGCTAGTGCTAGTTAGCTTCAGGACGAAGGTTAGGGCTTTTATTGTTGTAATCTGCCTCTGCCTAATCTGTCAGGAAAATAATTGTTAGACTTTACTGAAGGAGGATAATGGGGACATACAACTGGTATAAAGCAACAGATAAATGAGTGATATACACTCAGGGACAAGAGGTAAAAAGCTATTTTAATTCCTCAATTTCACCAGGCCTCTCCATCTCTCTCTCCTTTATCTCTCTCTCCCTCCTTTATCTCTCTCTCTCTCTGTCTCAATTACCAGGCGGTAACACACAGGCTGTGTTCTATCTCAGAGGCCGTTAATTAGCTCGATTACCGCCTCTGCTGCTGTTACGAGACAGACAGAGACAATGAGGAGAGGAGAGGAGGAGAAAACATTAAAGGCATTACTCACCGCCTGCAGACAGACAGACAGACAGACAGAGTGAGAATTAAAGGCTCAGATGTACAAACAAACGACTTGACAGACGGAGAAGAAGGAATTGACCCCAGACGACGTCTTTGTTTTTAAAACCCACTTGTCAGAAATGAGCACTGGCCACCTCAGAGCAGCTTCTCCTTCCGTCTGTCTGTTGCCCTCCAGGTGCGCGATAATTATCCCGTTCCAAGCAATCCATTTATTCTGACTGTCAGCTCTAACTCCCGCAAACTCACTGAGGACGACATTTCACCTCCACATTCACTTTTTCCTCTTGTCCTGAACTCATTTAGTTTTAGTGCTCGGCTGATTTCTGACGCCTGCTAAATGCGACATCTGTCTGCTACATCTGTATCCTTGTAATATTGCAACTTTATTCTCGTGATATAACGATTTTATTCTTGTAATATCATGATTTTATTCTTGCAATATTGTGACTTTAGTCTCGTAATAAACTTTTTTCTCGAAATTTCAGATTCAGATAAAACTCCGTCGTACATTATCTCAATAAAACAATTTGAATGCAGCAAAAGATTTGGAGCAGGTTTTGCAGAATAACAGTTTAGTTAAAAAGAGTTAAAAACAAAGGTACAGCAGCACTTCCTCCTGCCTACCTGCGTGATGAGGCTCTGCAGCTCGGTCCTCTCCACTTCCCATGATGCCTTGGCCTTTGCAAACTGCTGGGTGAGTTCCTGGGAGCCTTGTCTCTCCTGTCGCAGCTCACCGCTCAGATCCTGCAGCGCCACCTTCAGGTCGGCCAAAGTGCTGCTCACAGCGCTCGACTGCAGGGGGACGACGGGAAGTTCACGTAAGAGTGTGTGTGTGTGTGTGTGTGTGTGTGTGTGTGTGTGTGTGTGTGTGTGTGTCACTCTCCTTACCTTGATAGTCGGGCTGAGCGGCTGTTCGTCTGCAGCAGACCTCTTGTCAGTCTGGTGGGCGGGGCTTGTCAGGTTGTCCTCCTCCAGCAGCAGGTAGAGATCCTTCAGGCTGTTCATCTAAAGAGCCAATCAGAGAGCAGGATCACCTGTCAGTCATTTACCTCTGCCGCCAACATGAAGCAGTGCCATTATCCGATATGTTCCAGTATGCAACACACACTCAGTGGAAACTTCATGGGATAGTTTCATGATGTTTAATGATTTTTATATATTTTCATGGTCAATAATTGTTTCCTGTAAAATCTGCTGAAATGCAAAGTAAATATTTTTTCTAATTAACTGTTAAAGGAATTGAAATCTTGTACTGGAGATAGTTGCGTCCTTTGTGGGACCAGATTCAACCTCAGAAAGATGAGAATGATGGCTGAACAAAAACCTGAGATTACATTATTTCATTTCTGAAAACAAATATGATTTGAGGTTTGGAAATTGTAACTTGGAGACAGAATATTGATTACAGATCTGCAAAACACATAAAGGAATATTTCTGGTCCATATCTCTGGACTGATGATGATGATGAGCCATCTCATACCTCCAAGACATCCTTCCACTCCGTGTCCTTCTTGCAGCCCAGCCTCCACTGTTTGAGGAAGCAGCGCAGCTTGAGGCTGAGCAGTAACAGGGCCTGTTTGAGGTGCTGAGACTCCTGGACCAGCAGAGTCCTCTCCTGGCTCCATAACTTCCGCTGCAGCCGAGCCTGGAGACCCAAACTCTGCAGCTGGAAGTCCCGACGGAGCAGAGCCTTCTGGTGCTCGTCCTGGATCTGAGAGCGGGGAGGAGGAAATCAGAAAAGGCCTTCAGGCTGGAAGTGTTTATTTGCTGAATGTCTGTAAGGAACATTTCTTTGTCTTAGAATCAAACCATATGTTCACAAACTAGACAAACTGAAGAAAATAACTCTGTCCTCTCTGGAATAAACCAAAAGTCACTCTCCCTCCTCCGAATAGCTCAGAATCCAGCAGCTCGGCTTCTTACTGCTTTTAACAGACGACATCACATCACTCTGATCCTCTGTTCCCTCCACTGGCTCCCTGTCTGTTTTAGAATTGATTTTAAGATTTAACTGATCACTTTTTAAGCCCTGAGCTACATCACAGCGTTATTAACCCCATGTGAGCCAGTACGCAGCCTCAGCTCCTCGGGTCAGGTCCTTCTGGCCGTTTCAAAGTCGAGGCTTAAATCTAAAAGTGACGTTTTTTCCATCAGGACTCGACTTTGGAACGACCTGCCTTGAGGACACGAGGCAGAGTCAGTAACTTCTTCTAATCTCTTCTTAAAACTCATTTTTATAGACTTGCTTTTACGTGATGTCGTCTTTTTACCGTCTCCATGACGCCCTTTTATTGCTTTTACTGTGTTTGTGTGTGAATGTTTCTATTCGACATCTGCTCCGTCTAATCGTCCTTATTTATATTGAAGCGTATTATTTGTCCTTCCTCCGTGACTCTCCCTTCTCTCTGTCCTGCTTCTGATTCGTTTGTCAAAGCACTTTGTAAGCTCTGTTTTTAAAGCTGCTATATAAATAAAGTTATTATCATTAATATTATTATTATTATTGTTATGATTATAAATAAGTCACCAGAAGCTCGTTTTTTCTCTAAAGCCAAAAAATAATGAAGGACAGACTCTCTGTTTGTTGTCAAAGAGACTTTTAGCTGCCAAACACCTGATATTTCTGTGCAAATTCTCCTCTGGCGTTTCAGTGTGTTTGAGGTGTTTACAAGTTTTGTTTATTCATTCGTGCGTCTTGACCAGCCGCTGCTGCAGACTGACCTGTGTGAGTTTGAGAGTGGTTTCTCTCTCCGTCTCCAGCTCCTCCTGAGCTCCGTCAGCAGACTCCTCTGCCTCGGACAGCCGGGCCTGGAGCCGCTCACTGGACCGGGAGGGCTGGAGGAGACAACGAGGGAGATGAGGAAACGTGTGTAGAGAGGGATGAAGAAAAAGAGAGAAGTGAGAGAGCAGTGGATAAGGAGACATGGACGAGCAGGAAGGAAAGAAAAGTGAAGAGACGAGAGACGAGTAAGAGACAGAACAGAAGCAGTAACGGGAGGAGAAACGGCGAGGGAAGAGAGAGTTAAGAGGAAATGAAAAAATCATGAACAGCTAAGTGTGCGAAGCAAATAACACGCCAGTTTTGTTCTACAACACCCTTTAAATCACACGTCAGCTCCGGGCACGCCACTGTACATCCACACACACACACTGACTGTCCCCCACGCCTCATTTGGCTGCTGAGTGAGTGCCATCCATCGACCCGCCACTGTACCATTAATGTCCTCTTTCACTCTCCACTGGGCTCCGCCTCTGCCCTCCATCACCCTCCACCACCCTCCATCACCCTCCACCCGGGCCGCTCACACCCTCCACTTGTCGGCCAGAAAAACTGCTCAGACCTCTGCTCCGAAGTGACTGCGGAAAAATGGCAGCTGCTTGTGGAAAATGAGCCACAACATCAGTAACCGTAGCAACGTGAGAGTTTAAATAACACCCCTTTAATAATGCAATATAAGAATAGCGTCATTAGTCTTTTATTCTATTTTATTATATAGAAATTCTACAATAAAATGAGGGGTTGAGAGGTTAAGGTAATTAATTAGTATTTGATCCTGATATTAAATTTTTATTTACAGTGTTTTTAAAGCAGAAATCGTTTAAGGGGGATTCTTATATTCTACTATGCTGTATTATAGGAGGCTTATTTGATTTGTTTTTCTTTTTTCTTTGCTTTAGATGAGTTAGATCAGAAGATCGATTCCCCTCTCATGTCTGTGCAATAACTGTGGAGCGAGAGGAGGGAGTTATTTAGCTTAGCTAAGCACAAAGACTGGAATCTAGCCTCTTTTCAAAGCACACAATTATTAAATTATTCCCAACAGCATCTCTAAAGCTCGATTATCAACACATGGAAATGTTAAACCGTATTTATATCTCCGCTGGTTTTGCAAACTCACGGTTATCCCAGAAGGTCAGTGCATTCAGAGAGTTACAGCAGTTCATAGTTACAGCAGGTAATTCCCCACAAAAGCACGATGTTAGATGTAGTGCTGGTGGTTGTGCTACTTGTGACCTCTGGGCAGAGGCAGGCTGGACGTTTCCCCCTTGCTTCCATATGGAGGACTATGGAGGAGCAGGGATTCACAGGAAAAGTAATAAATCATTTCCTTAACTGCATGTTTTAAAAGGCTTTTACTGTGACATCCCCGGTCCTCCATACTTCCATTCTTTATGCTACGCTAAGCTAATCCTCTCCTGCCTCTCGCTTTCATAATCGAAGCAAACAAACATATTTCCCAAAATGCCCTGGCGTCAGAAAGTTAGCCTAGCTAGCTTAGCAAAGAGACTGGAAACAGGGGGAAACAGTTTAGCCTGGCTCTGTCCTCAGTTAAAAAATATGTTTAAACCTGAATAATAACACTGTTTTTAAAAATCTACACAGATACAAATATAAAAAAAAACTATTTGTAGTGATTTATATGGAGTTGTGCTACTTTTGAACCTTGGGGAGAAGCAGGCTAGCTGTTTCCCCTTTGCTCTATTCCTTATGCTACGCTAAGATAATTTTATAATCATCAATATGAGAGTGGAATCTTTATCTAACTAAAAATGAACAAACAACTCAAAAAAAAAGCAAACAAGCCAAATATTTCCCACAATGCCCTGGAGTCAGGGTGTGGTTAGCCTAGCTTAGCAAAGAGACAGGAAGCAGGGGGAAACAGCTAGCCCAGCTCTGTCTTAAGTTGAAAAATATGTCTACCAGCACCTCTAAACCTGAATAAATAACACTTTTATCTATTTTGTTTAATCTGTGCACAGATACAAATTGTAGTGATTTATCTGGAGTGGGTTCAGCTTCCATGTGGAGTCGACGTCAGGTAGAAGTTGTGAAGTTTGGAAGAAATAGTGTTGGTCGAGCTATAAGATAAACTCACAGAGTATAAGTGGCAGTATTATGCTGAATAGTGAGGGTATGTAAACACTGGGTGTTTGTGTTGCTGTGTCATTCTCTATTCATCACAGCTACAAACACGCCCGTCTGTATCTACAATATCTAACACTCACTTGTTATCGTTCTCTTTCATTCTATTTCAGTCTCCGTCTCCCATTCAGCCTCTCAGCCTCGGATAAAGATGCAGACAGACTCTCTCACACACACACACACACACACACTCACACAGCTCCGGTTACCATGGCGACACGCCGGCAAAAAGGTCAGCCAAACAAAGGTCTCTTCTTCCTGTCAGTCCCACAGCTGACGGTGAAGTCACTGTTTGTGTTTGTTTACGGCGCTGTTGCTGAGCATGAGATCGCCACCACTGCGCCACATTGGTAACTTCAAGCTACAGTGTGTGTGCAGTTGTGTACTCGTGTGTGTGTGCGTGTGTGTGTGTGTGTGTGTGTGTGTGTGCACGTGTGTGTGGGTAAATGTGTGCATAAATGAGCCTTTAATTGACCTGTGCAGGGCAGCTCGTGTTTGTACATGACTTAGGGCTGGTATCAGTAACATAAATATTAACATTAAAAATTGCCATATATGACCTATGACCCGTCATCACATGACTAAAGCGCTGTACTTAACTAACGCTGCTGAAGAAGACTGTGAGATACAATTGAAAACTCTGGAAAAAGCCAGTGAGTGAACCTTGAGTTAAGATATTTTTTGTCAAATTAAATATCGAAACTGCATTTATATTAAAACTGCAACGACACATTCACTCACTATGACTGACAGAACATTTATTTACCAACATCATTATTATTGTTGTTATTGTTCGTCGTTTGGACGGAGATCATTTTCGTTTGAAAACGCAGTTTTAAAATTTAAGACGCAGCCGTGTGGACGTGGTGTGAGAGAAGCTGCAGAAGCAACAGACTGGACGTTTTGTTTGTTGCATTCTTAGACCGTGTCCGGTCAAACCTGTGGTGTTTGTCTGTCTGTGTGTTTGACAGAAAGAGAGGGAGGAATCTGACATCAAAACCTCGGCTTCAGACTCACGTCAGGTTCCGGCTGAAAAACGTTGTTAGCTGTCAGACCTGAGACGGACGAGAACTCAAGCTCCTCGTGTGTGTGGATGTTTCTGTGATTGTGAGCGACTTACCGATGCTTCATCCGTGTCCTTCTCCTGCTGCTCCTGCTCGCTGCTTGCCTGCTTTTCTGGCTCATTGCTGTCTGATTGGCTGTTCTCTTCAGTTTGACCTTTCACCTCTGGCTCTGTGTGGTCCCTATAATCAGGCTGCTGCATGCATGCATGGGCAAGTTAATGAAGAAAAAAAAAAAATCAAACAAACAAACAAACAAAAAGAGAGGGAGAGACGGGGGGAGGAGGAGAAGTTGTGGAACAAAAGGAAAAAGGAGGAAATGACAGAAAACAAGACAAACAAACAACAATAAGAAAAACAATACAACCATGATGGTGTCCATACATGTGACAACATTCAGAAAAATGAAAAATAAAAACATGAGGGAAATGATTGATGGATCTCACAAGACAAAGAAAAGGATGTAGAGGAAGAAGAGCTTTGTCAGAGAGGAGAAGGAGAGAGTGGAGAAAAGAAAGAAGAGGAGGATGGAGGGCAGAATGAAGGGCTGAGGGAGGACGAGAGGAAAAGAAAGATGGGAAGAAACGAACAAAGACGGAGAGATGAGGAAAACAGCAATGGGAGAGAGGGAGAGGGAGGAGGAGGAGAGATAAGACGAACGGGAAGGCAAGAGAAGGAGTAAGGTGGTTAAGATGAAATGTCAGAGCGAAGGGGAGGCGAGGAGGTAACGAGGAGCCGAGGAGGAAACGAGCGCAGGGTGAGATGAGGAAGGAGAGGAAGGAAGGAGACAGGGGAGGAGAGTAGCAACGGAGGGAAGCGGTGAGGGCGGGAGATGGTGAGGATGAGGAGGCGTGAGGAGCGGGAGAAAGGAGGTTTAAAAAGAAGGAAAGGGGGAGACGGTTATGGTGCCCGTGCAGAGGGAAGGAGGGAAGGAGGGAGGGGACGAGGAGAGAGGAAGGAAAGGGGAGGAGAGATCGGAGGGGTGTTGGGACTCAGAATTGGCCTCTAATGGAGTCTACACATTGAAGTTTACTCACTCAGCACTCTATAATTTCACCACAGCTTTCTCCAAACAGGAAAGTTAGATCAGATCAGAATAGAAAACACAGATTTTAGAAGAAACACGTTAAAAATCCAGATTCAAAAAATCCCCATTTAGTCAATTTAGTCGAGTCAATTTAGTCATGAAAGCCGTTTTTTCCTGACGGATCTTTATTAGATTTGATGGTTTAAACATATTCCTGACAAAGTGAGGTAATAATGTGCCGTCGACAGTACAGCACAAAAACAAGCCAGTCGAGTGAATTACATATCTCATACTGAATTTTCTAAGTACCATTATATACTTGAGAATACAGTAGATGTGCAGAGTCGATCATAAGTCACTGTCAATCAGCGATAACCCCAGAATTTCCCAGTGGAGCGTTTCAAACACAGAATGTGATTTATGAAGTGTGACTGGAAATCTACTCAGACAGAGTCTCACTGTCTCATGAGCCGCCATCGATCATAATCCCAGTTACACTTCTGCACGGAAACGATGAATAACTCAAGACTATTTGCTTCTGTTTTCAGACTCCGGATTTTGTGCTTTAAGGTTAAATTGGTTTTTATTATATTCTTGTGTTTTTACCAACGTTACTGCTCAGTCCTCAGTATGTGGTGTCAGGAAATACCTCACAGCAGCTAAAATAGATGGAAAACACCAATAACTAAACTTTTTAATCAAGTTTTTAAAACCAAAAATTCAAACCAGAGCAGAGTCAGACTGTGAATCGTGTTTATTATTTTCTAGTCAACAGAATCCACCTCACTCAGTCTTAACAAAGGACAAATCCAACGTCATTATAAATGAAAACAGTCGTGATAAACCACACGAGACGTAAACCCAGACTGTACGTTGAATTGTTTTAATGATCTGCCGATGAAAATACATTTAAATAAATAAATGGAGCTTAATGTTGCTCTTAATAACCTTCACTATGTCCATGCAACAGACAGGCTCCATTTGAGGCCTAAAGCAGCATCTAAATACTCAGGTCAGGAGGAAGTCAAACAGCATGCAGAGGACATGAGTGGGAGTGTGTGGAGAGGTTTACACCGGCCGCTCAAATCTGACTTCATCTGAAACGTCCAGGAGGATTTCTGTTCACAATTTTACATTTCTGTTTCTTACTAAAGTGATGTTTGTTTATTCTCAACAGTGTTAATCTATAAAAATATGATCAGGACAGAAATCTGAGGGTTTTTTCCCATGATGTTTTTTTTATGTTTTAGTCACCGCCAATGTTTATTTTTATCATAAACAGATCTGGAACGAGCCAGAGTGTTTGTGTGTGAACGTGTCTCATCTTTATCTAATCTCCTGTTTGTTGTTATTGTTGTCATCGTCAGGTCGTGGCCGCTGGTGCGTCAGATTTGAGCGCGCTGTGTAAATCCATTCTTCACCGTGAGGAGAAACTAAAGCAGCATGTTTAAGTGGGATCAGGAGTGTTAACCAAACTAATGGTTAGGCATTGGACCAAACACAAGCCTAAAGAATAGCAGAAAAGAAACTAGTGAAAACAGAAAATAAAGCCCAACAAAAGAGAAAAAGATGATAAAGGAAAGAGAAAGTGTGACGAGGAGTGAAGAGGAGGAGTGTGTCTTCTTTGTCTTTTACCTTCTCCTCTGCAGCGTTCAGTCCATTCTGCTCGTCTCCGGAGCAGATGAGGGAGGCGCAGGGTGAGGGCAGGGGAGATGCTCCTTCCACCTGAGGGTCCCTCCCACCTGCTGGGGGTTTACCCAGGCCGTCCACCCGCTCCACGAAGGCCTGCAGCTGGGTGTGCAGGGCCTGAAGCCTGCTGGTCAGAGCTCCGACCAGAGGCCGGTCGGCCAAGTCAGACAGTTCTGAAATCTGTGGGACAAAGACAGAGGAGTCACTCAGGATCAGCTGATTGACGGTTAGGAGTGATGTGCTGCTGTGGGCGGGGCCAGCAGAAAACACCTGTTTTAAACACTTTTCAAAACGCCCACCGAAACAATCCAACATCTGTTCAAATGAAGCTTCATGTAGAATATTTTCAGATCTTTATCTTCCTGGTGAAACAGAACTTTCCTTTGGTGCTACAGTTTCTCAACCGCTGAACTACTGTATTCCTACGCACAAGCGCACCTACAGAGCGCACTGTGTTACGCCGCAGCCTCAGGTTAGCTGAGTGAATCAGAAAGAGATAAACTTCACTTTGTTTTGACGGGAAGATGAAGATGTAAAATCTTCTACATGAAGCTTAAAATTTAAACAGATGTTGGATTGTTTCACTGGGCGTCTTTTAAAAGTGTCTAAAACACTCCTGGTCCTCCTGCTGCTCTAAACTCAATCTACTGCAGGAAACACACCGACTGAACATGAACACCTCACACAACCCCACGTCTAACAACCACAACTACCTTTAAGCTTCAAACTGTCCTCTTTGATAAAGTCCTGAACCAGACCTCAGTTATGCTGCCATAGGCCTAGACTGCTGGGAGAACTCCCATGATGCATTGAGCTCTCTCTCTCTCTCTCTGTATTTATATCATCGTACTTCATGTCATTGTATTTTCTCTCTCCCCTAGTTTGTGCTTCTCCTCTCTCTCTCTCTCATTATGATTATTATTGTTATTATCATTATTATCATCAGATCTTGACCTCACCTTGTAACGAGCCTTGACATCATGTTTGTTGTGATTTGGCACAATACAAATAAAATAAAACTGAATTTACAATAGTTGAAAATCGTCCAAGATTTAAATTTCTTAATTGCCTTTTAGTTCTGCCTCATTTATGGTTCACAAAGAGTCACTGTAAATAAATCTAGTTTTATAAACAGGAAGTCACATGAACTGACTCCTTCATTGGACGGATTTAGTGACCTGTCATCCTGCATCATCAGAAAGTCACAACAGTTTATTCTGCTGCACTTTATTTATCGTCTGGGAGGGTCAGAACATCATCTGCTCTTGACTTTATCTGATGCTAATAATGGGCAGATGAAACCAAAAGACTGAGACAGTCCGTTCTGCAGAGAATGAAGGAGGGAAATGAATAAAGTAGGTTGATAAATTTAGCTTTTTCATTCATATAAAAGTCATATATCTATGTAATATACAGAGATCCTCCCAGCTCTCAGTGGTTTTGTACGTGTGGACACATGAACTTGTTAACAGGCTGACTCTGGGACGCAGCAGCAGGACGTGTACCTGACTGTGAGCCTGAGGTTTCTCCAGGTCACACGGCTCCGCTGCGTCGTTGCTGCAGACCTTGTGATAGATGGATGGGGGCGAGGAGAGGCAGTTGGACTCCGGGGAGGTCAGGAGCTGTATCGCCGTGGAAACCAAGCGAGCCTGGTCCCTCATGGCCAGCAAGGCATCATGGTCCTTCTGCCCCAGGCACCCAGGAAGCGAAGTTGCCGTGTCAGCGTTGTCCTCGATCTTCTTTTTCCGTTCCTTGATCTCCGGGCCGTCGTTCTCGCCGCCCACGGGCTCTTTGCGGTGAGGAGGGCTGATGGGAAAACACACAGAGCACTTTGACGACTTCTTGTCCATGTTGCCTTTAAAAAGTTGAGATTAAAAGTAAATTTTTGACTTTAAAGTGCTCAGATTTACTGACTTTTCAAAACCCACGAGCGACTTCTTTTTTCTTTTTCTTTCAAAAAAGCATCTAGCGTCTTTTTGGACGAACTTTTGCTACTTTTGTGAAGAAGAGAGTCACATGAACGAACTTCTAACTCTTTGTCTGAGTGATTATTTTACAAGTAAATTCACAGCTCAGTCTTTGTGTCGGCTGGAGCCGGTTTCACAGAGACAGACTCTGACTGTGACTTAGATCTAACAAACAGTCAGACTTCACATAGACCGAGTCTGAACTCATCTGTTGCACAAAGCACTTCAGTTCTTGACTTAAGCTGGACTGTGGCACGATGAATTCAGGGTATATAAATACTTTTTTCAAAATAAATAAAAAATGGCTGAGGGAGGAACCGCATCCAACCGCCACAGAAAACGATCCAGTAATACTCATTAACCCTCGACATCCCTCATCTCTGCACTAATATTGGCTCAACTGGTTTCAGGTACTAAGCATCATTTAAATGGAACGAGCTGCAAACTGCCCTCAAACTACAGTCTGACATTTCCTCTTGGAGATATTAAAACTTTATTATTTGATGTATTTTTATGAATGTTTTTGTTAATTCTTTGTTTCTTAGTTTTGTATGTGTTGTGTAGCCGTGTCGTCTTTGTTACTGATTGTCTCTTGTGACTGCTTCTTGTTCTCAGGTCTCTCTTGGAAAAGAGATTTTAATCTCAATGAGATTTCCTGATAGTTTAAAATGACCAATCCGATTACAAAATATAACCTTTGTCCTGACTACACATGATCAGATGTGTCATATACCAACTCAGGTCCGACCTAACAGTAATTTGACCCATGAATGTTGTAGGGAAAGTGAAACTACCTGGTGGGGAGGCACTCAGCGGAGTCTCCCGCCTCTGCATCCGTCTCCAGAGCCAGTCGCAGCGAGGAGGAGGAGGATGAGGAGGAAGGAGCGTGGTAGGAGGCCAGGTCACAGCGCTGCAGGTTGGACAGAAGCACCCGGTTCTCGTACTGCAGCTTCTTCACCTTCCCGCTCAGTTCTCCGATCTGAAGCCTCGCCAGCCTGAGCTCCTCCTCCTGGGCGGGGGTGTCCGTGCTGATAAGCACCGCCGCTTCCTGTATGGAGTGCACGGGGCTGTCGTTGAGCAGCCCGTCCGTCAGAGACGTTAACGAATTGGACGACAGCGTGGACGTCAGCGGCGGGAGTTCGGATTTGTAGCGGTTGATCTCGTTCATCAGGAGTTTGTTCTGCTCCTCCATCTCGATCAGAGACCTCCTCAGAAGCTCCGCCTCCTCCTCCACAAACTGGAGGTGTCTCTGGAGCTCCATGACGTTTTCAGACGAAGCCCCTCCTCCAAGAACCATGGCTCCTCCCGAGAGACCAAGACCCACCCCCAGACCGCCGCCAACACCAGAGAGTTCCTGAGGTCCATCTAGAGGAAAACAACAAAAACAATCAATAAAATAAATGAAGAAAGAAATTGTAAACAAGGTTAATTAGCTGCATCCTAAAACTGATGCAGTCGAATACACAAGTCCTTCAGTAAAACCTCCTTCATGAACATGACACTGCTCAGTGTTTTAATTCAGCTCCACCTCAGCTAATTATATATGTCACTCAATAAACACTATAACAGAGGTGAGCAGCACACGTGTTTGGATTGTTCTGGAGGTGATTTGAGGTTTTTATCTGTTCATGAGTAACACCAAAGCCTCTGACTGTTCACATCCTTCTGTCTGTTTTCTGTCACAACAATAAACTCAGACCAACTTCTCCTTCACTCTGAGCTCACAATAAAACAGCACTGCTCCCGTTTAGTCTGGGTATACAAGCGACTGACAGTGAATTCAGTGAAGTGATGACAATCGATCGATAAACTCACAGCACTGCACCAGACAAATCTTTTAAAACTTTTCATATTAGTTCATCAACTGAAGTTAGTGACTCAGACAAACAGGAGCTTGTTGGAAAGAACTGATTCTCTAGTTCAACATGTAAAAACATCATGTCTCCGGCTCAAGCGATCGCGGAGTGACGACGCTCTGAAGACGACGTGATATTTGAGGACGGGCTTCAGAGGGTTAAAAACTACCTTGCGGTCCCTTCATGTCGTCCATCTCGGCTCGGAGCCCCCGGTTCTCCACCTCCAGCTCCACGATGCGTCGACTCAGCAGGTTGGCCTCCTCCTCCACCAGCTTCAGGTGGACTCTGATCTCCGCCTCGCGGGTGTGGGGGGAGTCCGCAACCTGGGGGGGGCGGGGGGACGGACAACATAACAGAGACATAAGGAGAGGACAAAAACCTGTTCACTCACACACCTTTAATCAGCTGTTGACTTGCGTTTATAACAGCTTCTATCCTTTTTTTTATATTGATAACTTTGTTTTCATAAGTGACTGAAAATTCAACATTTCAACAAACATTCTCCCCGTTGTTCATCTAGTTACTGAAATGGCTCAAAAAGTGGGTTTGATTTAATGAGCTCTGTGGAGTTTCTAGAAACAGCACAAACGCTCCTCTGTGAACTTTTCCCAGGCGTTTTTTCTTTTCTTTTTTTTTTTTTTTGGCAAAGTGGGGAATAGAGTTTTAAAATGGGAACAAAGGGTGGTTATACTTTATAAGCCATGACCGTAACAGCCTGGAGGTTCTGCGTTCTGCAGCTCTAAGTGATGTGAAATGAAATTCTTCATCACTCTCCCACCTCCGCACATCGAGCCGTACTTCATGGGTCTTGTTCCCTACAACCGGCAGCTTGTCAAACGTCTTGTTCCTGTATAGAATATGAAGTATAGAACTGCTCTACAGTGAACATCTAGGTCTTTTCTATCCTCCCCTCACCTCCTCCACGGTGAGCGTGGCGTCGACGTCTCCGTACAGCGACCTGTACTTGGCCAGCTCCTCCTTCATGGCCTCGCTGTCCTTCACCAGCTTGGTCAGCTTCTTGCACATCAGGGCTGATTCCTCTTTGGCAAAGTGGAGCTGACACTTCAGGTCTGAACTGTCCTCCTGCAGCGACGGGACAGAGCGAGAGAGGAGAGACTCTGAGGTGACACTGATACAAAAACTGCTGCATCACACACAGAGGATGACAAATGCACAAACATGTCGTCGCATCTACAGCTGAGTCGTTTAGTCAGTTAATCAACGACAATTTTAAAATCTGATTTCTTTCCTTTTTTTTCTTTACTTTTTTGTTGAGACTTGCAAAAAGACAATTAACTGATGAACTGAATGCGAATAGCTGGTGCTGCCCTGATCTGAACTGTTTGAGTGAGGAGAAAATGTTGAGAGGGAACACAGACAATAAACATGTTTCATGATACAGAGCGATCAGCAGTTTGTATATCACCTTATTTTAACCAGTAATTATGAGTTATATCCAAACTAGAATCACCTCCTCGTGGTTGTATCCCTCCGCCACTCAGACTAGTTCCAGGTTACATCCCTGTTTATCCAGAGTCAGAAAATATGAACCATTTGTGTGAAATTTGGTCTTGAGTTATGGTTAAAAAGTGTTTTGTGAGAGTCACCGTGACCTTGAACTTTGACCTTTGGCCACCAAAATCTAATCAGTTCATCCTTGAGTCGAAGTCGAAGTTTGTGATAAATTTGAAGAAGTTCCATCGAAGCGTTACTGAGATATCGTGTCCACGAGAATGGGACGGACGAGCGGAAAGACAACCTGAAAACATTATGGCTCTGACTGTCGCCGGCGCAGAGGAATAACAAACAGACCTAAACCTCCGTTTGTGTCAGATATTATATGACGTGCTAAATATGAACTCATCCTGTGGTTGAAACAAGAGACACAGAGAGAGAGAGAGAGCGAGAGAGAGAGAGAGAGAGAGAGCGAGAGAGAGAGAGAGGAGGGAACTTCAGTGAGTCTATCCTGGGAAAGAGGTTACAGAGAGATGAAGAGACGACCTGACACAGGCAGGGACACACAGAAAGTAAAAGCTGCAGACAGATGGATAAATGCAGTGCACGCACGCACGCACGCACACACACACGCACAACAAGCTGACCAGTGAGATCACTTCATCCACTGCTCGACTTGGAATCTGCGACCTTAGATCCTTCCAGACTGACGGCTGGACAACATCAGAGGTCGAACACGAAGCATGTGATGAATCTTTTCTGGTGTTTTCAAACCGCACCGACCTTTTGACATCCATCTTTGGCAATTAACAAGACGCAATAAAGTGTCTGCTTTCAGGGAGATGAACACGAGCCACAGTTACTCAACCACGATGAATTGGCTTTTCATTCTGTTTAAAACTGCCTTGAACTTAAGAAATAATGACAAAGGGCTGTTTGACTAACTCGCAGCTTTCAGCAACCGAACACTGAGGTCAGAGTCATGTTGTGTTTGTTCCTCATGAACAAATAACACACACAAAGGAAAAGAGAGACACACAGATGTCGTCCAGACTCTGAAATTAATATTTACTAACTCACTAGGACACAGAATACAGACCTGTAAGACTAATGGTAGTTTACAAGTGACTGAGAAAATGACTGTTGCACGACATAATAGCAGTGGAAGCAGTATCACCGTGACTGAGTGTTTCCACCTTAAACTGCAGTGAACCAGTGACACACATACAGGGTTTCATACATCACAAACCTAAGGAACCAATCCTGTCAACCTGTGGGGACGGGGGGCGGGGCTAAATACACCCGAAACCTTGTCAGTACAGAGAGAGAGAGAGAGTTAGCATTAGCACAACCGCTAACACTGTGTCAGACACTGCCAGTTACAAGCTAACAAACAACATGAAATAATAAAAGATGATAACTACCATTCTGAAAAGATGCTAACTGCGCTAACGGTTCTGACCCGTCTGCTAGTCTCTGGTTCTGGTCTCCACAGACTCCTCCTCTGAGTCTGGGTCTGACTGAGGCTCAAACATGTGGCTGAGTCTCTCTGATGTTTCCTCCTCTCACCATCTTGATGCTCTCTGCTCTTTCACCTGTCCACCTGGAGCCAGCAGGTGGTGGGCGGGGCTCAAGGCCTGATCCAGATTTCTCCATCAGGAAGTGAGAGGAGACGAGCTTCAGACCCAGTTTTTGATTTTTTGTTTTCACTTTTTATGTCTGAGGCTTTTTACGGAGTTTAAAACATGTCTGGAGAAACAAGAAACAGTTTATGAAGCTTTAAACCTCAAAGGATGACACAAGGAGTTGTAAAAGGTTACAAGCGTAATAATCCAGAACTTTCTCTTCAATAAAAACAGACAGATTGTCTTCACATCCGTGTCTCTTTCCCTAAAAACACACACCCAAACTCAGCTGCAACTACTGCTGACCTGAGGTGACCCAGTGCTCCCATTCCTCAGAAGCAGCTCTGTATTTGTTTTACGGCCTGTGGAGCGTTTCCAACCACATTAAGCGCGGCCAGCGCCAACAAATTTACAGCCATTTATGGTATGTGGCCTGGAGAGGAAGACAAGGCAAGAGACGGTGGTGAGGGAGCTGCCTTCAGACAGCCTCTGTGGAGAAGTTAGTCCTGCAGGTTTTTAATCCTCATCTCTATGGACATTGTTGTAGAGTTGTAAAGTTTTATTTCAGCATTGTTTGAACTTTTTTTGTGACTTGGAAAAAAGAGGAAGGGAGGGAGAGTTTGGAAAAGTGAAGTCGGGGAAAAAGTTGCTCACTTCTTTGGAAAAGAAGAAGAAGCACAATAAAGAGGAGGTCGAGATATCAAGGGTGACGTTGAGGACCAAACATAAACAAATACTCGGCATGCAAGAATCACACTGAGCACAAACACCTGCAGGACAAGATGGAGGCCAGAAAAAAGAGGGAGAGATGTGGTGAAGATGAGAGGGAGCACAGGAAGTGCTGCTCTATCTGCTCCCAACTGCGTGCGGCTTGTTTGGACAGATAGAGTGTGATCCCCAGAGGAAATAGGTCATAGACAACAGAGAGAGAGAGAGACAGTCATGAGCTGTGAGGCAGAAACACATCCGAATGATCCGACATGTGACATTTCTGACATGACGGTTGTGGTCGCGGCTCCGGACAAACTTAATATGTCGATTCTGAACTCAGTCTGTGTTTGAAACAGAAAACAAAAGAATAAAACGGCTGATTTAGGGAGAATCTACAAAAAAAAGGTGATAATTAACTCTGTACTTTAATGAGAGTCACCCGACAGAAGCAGCAGGGACGCTCTGGTCTTAACTGATAAGTCAATAATGTTTTCATTTTCCTGCTTACATCATATAAATGACTCTTTTTTTGTCATTAATTTATTAATTAGATTTTATTGGATCTGATCCTCCTCACTGTATTTTCAGATCTACTGCAGGAAGACGCAGTCTGCCATAACTGTTCTATTATTCTACGATTCCTTTTGGCTGCGAGATTAAAACTCGAATCACCTCCTCGTGGTTGTATCCCTCCGCCTCTCAGACTAGTTTGGTGTGAAATTTTGTCATAATTGCTGTGTGAAGTGTTTTCTGAGATCACCATGACCTTTGACCTTTGACCACCGAAGTCTAAACAGTTCATCTTTGAGTCCACATGAACGTTTGTGCCAAATTTGAAGAAGATCCATCAAGGTGTAACTGAGATATCATGTGCATGAGAAGGAGATGGACGTACGGACGACCTGAAAACAATACGGCTGCTCTGACTGCCGCCGGTGTGGAGGATTAAAAATCTTCATCCTGCCTCGAACAAATTAAATGATAATAACTCTTCTTACATTTGTCTTTAATTGGACTGAATTGTAGTGCTGTAGCTGTGGGGGGATTTTATTAGGTGGAAAATGCTGTAGGAAATGCTTTATCACGTCAGATAGAGTTCCTCATTGGAACACTGTGCAGGCTGCAGTGACCCGCTCCACGCTGAAACACAGGAGGGAACAACAGGAACAGTTCACCTGCAGCACATGCAGGTAGATATCAGGAGAGGCGAGAGCCGCCTCAGGCGACGCCATAAAAAGACTGCACTGAAAATGTGATGTTCCAGTTTGACTGTATCCGTGTGTGTGTGTGTGTGTGTGTGTGCATATGACTATAGAGAAACTGGTTTACAGCCTTTTAAAGCCAGTTGTTAAGAATCTAAATAACCTTTAGGCAGCAAGAAAAAACACTCAGTGGATTTAAAACTAATTGACAGACAATGTAAATTACCAATCAATAACGCAGAGAAACCTTGGTATTGACTGTAATATTGATGTCAGTTGTTTTCTCTCCCTGTCTCTCTCTCTCCAGCCTTTTCTATTTATCTCTATTGTGTTTCTCTGCTCTTCTGCTTCCCTCCATCTTGTCCTGCAGGTGTTTCAACTCAACACACTCAGCTATTTGTTATTCATGATATCGTTATGTAGCCCTCTATCGCTCTGTGGCATTGTGTGTGTGTGTGTGTGTGTGTGTGTGTATGTGTGTGTGTTACCTGCGGACCGAGCTTCTTGTCAGGTTTGTTGTTGGGTCGTGCTCCTCTTTTCTTCTGGGAGTTCTGCAACAGACACACACACACACAGAGTCTCGTTAGTGAGGTGTGACACCATCATTGACAGCTTGTGTTTCAAAGAGACGAATGTGTTCAGTCAGAAACAAAACAGTGGGGGGGGGCATGTCCTAATTTTTCATCATTTTCCAGATCAATAAATTCCCATGTGTGCAGATATTTGCACGTGTCCTTGATTTTCATTTAAAATTTTAAAAAATAACACAGAGCTGAAGTTGTTTCTTCCTAAAATCCAGAGGTGGATAAAGTCAGAGTTTAAATCCTCCGCGTCAAATACTACAATACAATACTTTGACTGGAGTTAAAGTACTGGAGTACTGGGTTTTAAAAATACTGAAGTATTCAAAAGTAAAAAAATTTTTTATGTCAACTCATCGTTGTATTGTTCCACATTTACAGAAACTAATGAGTCTGAAACAACCTGCTGACTGACTGACTGACTGTTGAACCTGTACATTAAAACGACTGTGGGATATGATACAAAGACTGTTGACATGGACATAAAACCAACTGAATCGACAACAGGACAGCCATCATTAGTATTTCTTATTGTTTTTAGTCAGTGATGAAGTCTGGTCGTGGTGAATGCAGCAAACATTTCAAACTAAATGAATCTTTATTTATTTCTAAACCTTCAAACACAGACGTCAGATCAGAGCATGGTCCCTGTGAAGAATCCTCTGCCTCATCTTTATCTAACGTCGCCATCGTTAGGACACTGACAGGTGCAAACATGACATTTTTCAAAATAAAATAAAATTCATCCCTCTGCCTAAAAGCTGTTTCAAAGTAAGAGCACTTCATAGAAATGTAGTGGAGTCAAAAGTCAAAAGTTTCTAAAAAAAAAAAAAAAAAAAAAAATACTCAAGTAAAGAACAGATACTGAAAAATATACTGAAGTACAATCCTCAAATAAATGTAGTTTGTTACTGTCCACCTCTGGTAAAATGACGAGGACATGATCAAGAGCTTTCACCATTATAGCTGTTCCACAAAAACAAACCTGAGTGTCTTTTCACACCTGTCACTACCTCCCTAACCTGCTGCTCAGCAGTGTGTTGCACTTTTTAAACCTTTTTCCGGTGTATTTGAGGCCATTTTGAAAGTTTTCAGGACATTGAAGGCAACACTAACAATCCTGACAGCTCTCACCCGTTTCCCAACATGCCTTTATGTGCTCGATTAAAACACCTTTCTGGCCGGTGGCAGTGACTTCCAGGACTCTTTACATCACCCTCAGATCGTCTGGCACCTCCAACGACTCTGTGAGCTAAACTAATTGTCTCTTGGCAAAACTGTCAGAGGGTCTTATGTCTATTGATCTTTTCATCTAGCTCTCAGCAGGAAAGCCAATTAGCCTATTTCCCAAAATGTCAAGCTTCCTGTATGAGGACAAGCTGTTTACATTTTTGTAAAAATATGCTTTCAATCAGTGATGTCGTGATGATAATCACCATTAAACACATGAATATTCTGAACTATTTCCATCCTGAATTTCCAGCTTCACGGCTGACAGACAGTCAGGATATCGTACGACACAGCTCCTCTCCCTCCCGCGCTGAGACCCAGATGTCATTGCTATGGTGATGCAGATCATTCCCATGGTGATTTTAATTACCGCAGAGAGACTGATAAGAGCGTAGAATTACAGCTGGGCAGTGGTGGTATGAACAGAGACGGAGAAAAAGAGACAGAGATGTAACGGGAAATATGAGAAGAAAGAAAAACAGCAAAGTAGGGACAAAAACAGAAAAACAAAAGAGCTAATGACACGATAGAAGAGCTGGGTTGCATCGCTAATAATGAATCCACACACACACACACACACACACACACACACACAAGCCTCTGTTCATCCAAGTGTCTGCCCAGTGCATTAGGCTCTCATAAATCATGATCCTTCCTTCTCTTTAGAGCTACGACCAATCACACACACACTCTCACACACACACACACACACACACACACACGCAAACAGTGTGTGAGTTGGGACAGACGCTGCAGCGCAAGTAACTAAGCTCATCTGGCTCAGTCCGTTTCCATGGAAACAAGCTAGTCTCTCTGCAACGAACCGCCGGCAACAAAAGAAAGAAATGGAGGGATGGATGGAGGAGAAAGGTGAGAAAGGAGCACAGGAAAAACATAAATGAATAATACTTAAATTGTCTTTTGCCAAAATATAAAGTGAAATGGTTAAAACACTGAAACCTTGAAGCTCTGAGGACGTTTTAAATAATCCTCTCAGGTCCAGGTGGAGTTGCAGTTGCAGCATCAGCATCAAGGGCATTTGCTTATTTGTCCGATTCTTTCCACAACTCTGTCTCTGTCACTATTTTCACCCCCCATCCCTCCCTTCCTCTCTCCCTCCCTCGACTCTTTCTATCCTTTCATCCTCTCTGCCCTCCCTTGCTTCCTCCCCTCCCTCTCATCTCTTCATCACTCTTTGGGCTGTTTTCCCGACCTTTTAATTTTTCATCTCCCGCTGTCCTTCCTCCCCTCTTGTCCCTCCCTCCCTGTCTCGGTGTCCTAACCCACATTAAGATCAGTCTATCAGGGGGCAAACAGTCCGTTAATGGCTCTAAACTCACTGATCAATGAGCCGGCCTGATAATGGAAACAATGATTCTGGCTGGAGGTCGAACAGAACTATTGGATCAGGCTTTCAGCTGAGCGGCGTTCAGTTGCAGAGAGGAGGGGGTGGAAAAGGATGGAAAAAGATGGGAGATCAATTCATGCTAAACTCTTGAGCTCATAATATGACACCTAGCTTCTTTTTGTGTGAGTGATTCCTGAACCAGCAAGAAGAAAAAGTTGCTTGATCTGCCAAATGATTGTTTGAGTTTGTGCCTGTTCAACACAAAAGCCTTTGTGGGATAAAAATAGTAATAGATAGTTACTATGAGAGGGTAAGTGATGTAAGAGTACCTCCAAAGAGGTGCTCTTACGTCACTAATTGGGGCGGGCCTGTGTGGGCAGAGATGGCAGTGTGATGCAGCTTCTCTGTATTTCCCCACCGGAAATGAAAGGGCGCGCTATGAGCTAGCTAATAATAGTTAGCTAAAACTGTAACTTAAGGATAAAGTTAGAAACTAGCTAACATTAGCGTTCACTTATAGATACTTGACACAATCTGATTCAGAAACTCCGATGATAAGAAAGTGAAGTGTATTGAACCAGCTGTATAATTAGCTCCTGCTACTTACATTTCCTTACGCTAGCTTGTGTGACGCACGGACGGGAGGACGGAGCCACTGACGGAGTGACGCAGGCAGACAGACGCAACGTTAAGAAATGGTACGGTCCACTTCAGGGGTGTCTGAAATCGTATTACAAGATTCCTCCAGCCATGAATGTCGGAAATATATTGTAATATTTACAATTACAGGCAAGTAGGATATATCAATGTTTAAACGCCTCCCAATCTGTTGTTTGTACCTCTTTTTTGTTTTTTGTTTTTTTGGGGTGGGGCGGGGGGTGTTCCCGGGTTTTAATCAGGGGGGGTCAGATTCTCTCTCAATCCTCGCCTTAATTGCAACCCTGCTCCTGTGGCTCAGTTATATTTCTAGAAAGCTATAAGTTATTTTTTCTTATTATTTTTCTGGCACAAAACTGATGATTCTCACTTTTACAAAACCATGCTTGGAAATGTTCATTATTTATGATGAAAAACCACACACACACACACACACACACACATACACACATACACACACACACACACACACACAAACTGTGCTCAGGGCCTGGTTCTCATGTTTCTGAGCCTGCAGGGCTACAGTTACACTGCAGATAAGATAGCAGGTTGACTTCCATGTCATCTGATAACATATTTAACAGCTCCTGGCTGTGTCCTCTGCTGCTAAGCTTTTTCTTAGGTAATATTTCACCATATTTTACATTAACTGCACTGATTGTTCTGTTGAGTGTATACAGGAGAGATGGTGAAATACAAGGGGAGATGAATGGGTTTTTATAAAAGAGTGGGGAAAGGGATGAAAAGACAGAAGGAGACAGTAAAAGAGAGAGAGAGGCAGATGGATTTTCAAAGACAGGAATGCATGCCAAGCCCTCCTTTGCCTGACTGAACTGGTGGATGGACGGAAACCGATCAGGACAGAGAGAGGAAAAGAGGGAGAGATGGTCACTGACAGTGAGAAAAAGAACGAGGGACATATAACAACAGTGAAGGCAGAGTGGGAAAACAGGGAGAGTGAAAGGGAGAGAGAGAGATGTTGTCATTCCTCCGTCATGGATGAGGAGGCACAGCAGTGTGAACTCTCCCTCCTTCCAGTCCAATCTGATCTGCAGCTCCACCAGCCGTGACAATCAGGCTACAGAGCAGGGCGGGATTAAACACACTGAGAGACCTGATGAAACCCCCCGAGGAAGGTTAGGAAAGTCTGGAGGAGGAGGACGGGACGCGGAGGCCAGAGAGGGACAGGGAAATATGAGAGACACGAAGAAACTGAACAAACTAATGTTGAAACTCTGGATACGACCTCTGCAAGGTCGAGAAAGTGGGAACAGAGAGCGAAGACTAAATACATTAAACAATGTTGAAACTCAGATTAAAGGCAGCACAGCGTGAAATATTCTTAGAAAAATGTCATGAAGTTAATTCAAACAGCTGAAAATAGACACAGAGGAATGAAAACAGTGTCGGCCGGTGAATATTCAAAACTGCTGGACTGAGATGTCACTGCTTTTTTTTTTTTCTTTTCTTTTTTTTTACAGTGCGCTGATGTGGTTTCAAAATGGAAATGGTTTTAACAGCCTGGTCGGGTTACGGCCCGTCACACAGGTGAACTGACAGTAGATGAGATTGCTCTGTGAGAATGGGAGGAAGCAGCAGAAGAGGTCAGATCTGATCTCAGTGAACAGACTCACCTGAACCAACCAGGCGTTAAATCCTGACACGGAGGAGAGGAGAGGACTACTGCGCAGGAACGGATTATAAGTGTATGAGTCCCACTCACTCTGGTACTTTT